CGAATCACCGGACAACCCGATATGGCTTGTCTACGGTCTAGCACCGTAGTAAGAACTAGAAGATGAAAGATGGTAAAAGGAAATCTGATTGCTTACCACATGCTTGAAAGTAGCACAGGTGCTTACATAGAATGGTTAGTTAATGAACTAATGCTACTGCTAATAATTGAATATAAGGGCGCACGTTTAGTAATGCTTCCTACAAATGCAATAAACCCACAAGCTAGATAGCCTTGCATATCCTTGGAGTCTTTTTCTTTCCTCCTATCGGGTAAGTCTTGCTGAGTACAATTGAGTACTCAGAATTTATTTTTCCCTATTGCAGGTGACAGGTGGATGCTAGAGCTGACCCTTGTGTGTGGATTCCTCCTAGTGGGCTCAGAGAGGATTCCTTTACGCTGCGATCATAGTTTTTACTTATAACTCTCACCAAATGTTTTATTAAATGAAAGTTTTATAATCTGTTATCATAGTTTATATATCAAGATTAATAGATGTTTAATTCCGCTATAACTCTGTTCACATGTTTATATTCCGCTGTTCAATTAAATTGTTCATAACTCTAATAATATGATTACATTTCGTTGTTATAACAACAAATATTATACTCTGATATTGTAATAAAAGTGATGTAAGAAATGGTTAAGAATGATGTAAGCTTTATTCTCTCATTTGTGATCCTGACGAAAAAATGTGGATTTTTGGGTTCTCCCCTGGGGTGTGCCCGACGGAACCGCGTGATTTGGTGTCCCCCCTTGAGTGCTTAGTGTCTAATGGAAGACGAGTACTCTTGGGAGGCATTAGATTAGACGGTTCTGCCACAGGTGGTATCAGAGCATAAATGAGAAAATAAAGCTTTGAAAACCTTTTCTAAAATAAAATTTGACAACAAATTCTTTTCAAAGAATAGGATGTCTTTATGCGAAGTTATATAAGTAGCCCTATCACTATGGTTATGTATCCAGGATAGATGGCACTCTGCTGACTTAGGTAGGCTTACTCAAGTTTTCTACAGATACACTGACCCCGAACATAGGCTGATAGTATTGACTAGTTACAAGGAGAGAACAATGTGCTAACAATCTGAGAACGGTTGCCCTATATGTTGGCAACAGTGGAAGGACGTATAGGACGTGCATTCATGCATATCCTGTTTGTGCATTGTAGTGCCCGTATTGCTTGTAGATACGCCATCCATAGGTCACGCGTGTCGTATTGTGCACGACTGACTCGTCTTGTTATGGAGTTATTTCTGCACTGTGACTTCGTGCTTCGCGTTCGCCCGTGGTTCACGCCGGTCGTGACCCACGTCTCCCCGTACTCTTTTCTGTGCTCTTGTCGCACCCTTGCCCTGCAGACGTACTAGTCATTAATGGCCTCGGACATCGCTCGCCTCGAACGCGCGGAATTTTGGTCGAGTCATTTGTAGTTGAGCACTTGCAATATAACTAAGCCACTTCTCCATCATGGCTTTAAGTGTTGCTCATACTAGTGTACCTGTGGACTAGTCACCCATGTATCTCACATCAAACACATATTAGTCCACCTAAATTGTCACTCAATTACCAAAACCAAATTAGGGCCTTTCATCGGTAGCCTTTGTCTTGAGGCTTGTCAACATGATTCCTTGTCATCTCCACCATGACCTTCATGCCGGCCAAAGCCTCAATGTGGACCAACCTTTTGCCTTTCATTTCTCATGTGAAATGTTACTCCACAGATGTTATTAATTACCAAAACGCAAACATGCGCCTAGATGCTTTCACTATCCCACCTAGCTGTTTAGACTTGGAGATGGAGCTACACGAAAACGGGGTTCGAGCTACGTTGGTGTACCCCCGGTCGGCTGCCTATGCCTGCTCCGTTGAAGTTCTGTGATGTAATTTTCTTTTAGATCCCTGGGTCCTTTTTAAATAAAGTTATCGCTTTTGTAATAAACACCATAATGTATCACTGTTGATGTCGTCACATGTATGAATAAGCTGATCCTGATATACATGTGATTTGCATTCAGTTTTGCCTTTAAAACCGGGTGTCAGAGAATGGCTAGGGTTAGGGCTATCACCACTACTACAAAAATGATTTATAGCAATGTCTTCCTTTCTTTGTAGGGGCGGCTCTATATTCAGCCGCCCCTACAAATGGTTGCCAAATGAGCCGCCCCTACAAATCGGATTTGTAGGGGCGGCTCAATATTGAAGTGCCTCTACAAATAGACGCCGAGTATTAAAAATTAAGCACTAAAATTTAAATTTTGTAAACGACCTCGGATGGAGAAACAACTAAAATGAAACTTGTAGATCTCGAAAAGTTATGAAACTTTGTATTTGACAACTTTTTTATTTGAAATCATCTTATCAAGGAAAACTACGTTTGAATTTTCAAAAATTTAAAATTTGAATTTTTTAAACGACCTCGGATGGACAAACCGTAAAAATAAAAGTTGTAGATCTTAAAAAGTTATGAAACTTTGTAGTTGATAACTTTCTCATTTGAAATCATCTTGTCATGGAAAACTATGTTTGAATTTCTTAAATTTGAAATTCAAATTTTATAAGTGACCTCGGATGGAGAATCTACCAAAATGAAAGTTGTAGATCTCGAAAAGTTATAAAACTTTATAGTTGACAACTTTTTTATTTGAATTAGTTTAGGGCCTCAAATAATCAATTTATGCTCAGTTTTGTATAATATGTGAGGAACCAAAATAGAATGTAGACACAAGTGATCGTGAGGTGCAGTGGTAGAGGAGTTTACGTGCGAGCGAGAGGTCGCAGGTTCGAAACCTGGTCGACGCAAAGTGTGCAAAAATCGTGAAAAAAATGCTACAACGATAGAGTGAGGGTGTGCGTGTCTGTCGGTGAGGACCTCCTTGGATTAAAAAAATTCCTATTTTTTGCCTCTTTTTCGTGATTTCTGGAAATTGATTCGTAGGGGCGGCTTAATATCCAGCTGCCCCTACAAATCGATTTGTAGCCACCCCTTCGTAGGGGCGGCTGGTAAAACCGCCACTACAGAGGGTTACCAGCCGCCCCTAAAAAAGGTTTTCTACATAGTGCACATGACTCTGATTTTGGTCCACCGGTCTGCTGGGTACTCCCTCCGTTTTAAATTATAAGTCGTTCTGTGTTTTCTAGGTACATAGCTTTTGCTATGTAGTTACACATAACGTATGTCTAGGTGCATAATAAAAGCTATGAATCTAGAAACGGCAGAATAACTTATAATTTGGAATATAAGGAGTACTACATTCTGATGCTAAATTGATCTCGTTTAGCCTATTTAAGCATTTAAAAGGCAACTCTCCTAGCTTCAGCCTTGGCCAAGCCGTTAAATCTGGCTATAGCGGAAGCTATATTTGGCTATTTAAAATATTGGTTTACAACGAGAAATTTAGATATTTTACACTTTCAAGACAACTTCTTACAAAAGAACTGCAGGTTGTAAGGCCATGTTCCGTAGGGGGGGAGGGTCAATCATTCTTCTAGTGGGAATAAAGGAATGAAAAACATACAAACGGAAGAGAGGAGTATTAAATGAATGGAGGTGTTAAACAGAGGATTGAAAAATACAGTAATTTTATAGAAATAGGTGTGTTAGAACGCAGAAAACATGACTAGCGTAAGAATTTGAGAGTTAGTCGCAAACTCAATGGTTTAAATTAAATTTAACAGTGAATATTTCTTTTTCTTTTATAAAGCTGGTACATAAAAGCATGGAAGAGGTCTCTGTATGGCCATATGCTAGCATCTTCTTTATCCGGTGGCTTTCTCAAAGCGATGCATCATCATAGGTGGAGTTTCATGAATCGACTTGTACTGCTGGAGCAAGCCGATTCATCCTGGAGAGAGAAAGAATCAGTGCAAGTTTGGAAGTCTATTAGTGTGCTTGTTTTGTTGGCGAGGAAAGCCTGGCTCGCACCTGGGAACCAGGTTTTGCTGGACATGCTATAGAGATGCAAGCTGTTCTTGTATGCTGGTCTACTTCCTCCGTTGCTTTTTAGCCGTCGTTGTTATCTCCGAGAAGTCAAACGTAGTCAACTTTAACTAAATATATATAAAAAAATATTAATATTTATGGTACATAATTAGTATCATTAGATAGATCATTAAATCTATTTTTATAATAAACTTATTTAGAGATACAAATATTGCTAATATTTTGTACAAACCTAGTTAAACTTAAAAAAAATTGACCAGCACAAATAGCATAGCGACACTTAAAAAAGGACAGGGGAGTACATGTATATAGTATGGCTGAGAAGAGATGGTGTTTGGTTGCCTGCATGAAGTCGTACCATATGAAACAAAAGTAGAAAAACAAGAGATCTTATAATATTTAGACCCCTTTGGAACGCAGAAATTTTACAGGAATTATGTAAAAATTTCATATGAATCAGTTTATTTTTCATAGGGAAAACGCAGGAACAGAACAAAAAATCCCACGTTCCAAAGGGGGCCTTAACTTGTGTAATTGCACTCTAATCATTCATATTTTACTTTTAATATCTTAATTTACTTTAAAATACACTAATATCACTTAATATACATTAATCATATGTTAATAGCATCAATAAAAAAACCTTGTTGTAAATAAAATATATATCCGGGGAGCCAGGCTCTGCGCTACTTAGGGCTCATTCGGTCATTCTGGTTAGGAACCATTCCTGGTTGAGAGTTGCTCTACTACTCGTTTGCTTCGGCGTTTGACATCGACTTATGTTCGGTCGGCTTATAAACCATATTTTTTTAATTAATAAATAATATATTTTTTATAATAAATCAGCTAGCTGCCGAGCGAACAGGTCTCATGCGAGGACGCCGACAAACAAAGTGGTGGAGAATAAAGCATCCTTTGAAACTTCACTCAATTGCTTCTGTACACTTCTGCTCTCTCTTTCTGTCTCTCTCACTGGACACTCTGCTACTGTACGCGGAGCTCCTCTGACGGAGAATTGCTACTGTACACGTACACTGTTGCTCTCCGCGTTCTCGATACGGATGGAGGACACCGGCGCAGCGAGCCGCGGGCGGGCAGCGCTGCTGCCACGGGAGGGGCGATGGGGCGGCGGCAGGCGGCGCGGGAAGCGCTGCAGGAGGGCGGCGCAGGGCGGGCCCTGCGGTGGGCCTTCGCCGGCGCTGCCCAATGGTCCCACTTCTCCGGTGAGCCTCTACTCCGTTGAGAGGTCGTGAGTCGCTGGCACTCGTTTTCTTCGTTCGTCCGCGTCATCCGTGCTCATGATGCTATGCTCCCTGATGACACTCATCTGCTCACGCAATCACGAAGGAAAAGAGAAGAAGAGATTGGAGTGGAGTGGATTCTTTTTTTTTTCTTCCCGCCGTGAAATCGGCATTTTAGCTGCAGGCTTCCTGCTTTTAACTTTTCCCCAACCTTCGTTTCTCTCCCTCACGAGTCACGCAGACGCAGGCAGCGGCCCGATCCGTTGGGAAAAGGCCGCCGCAGATCTGAGTTGTCTACCGCCGTCTCTCGAAGAGCTCAAATTGATCTGGACCTGCAGCTGCAGCTGCAACTGCAAGTTTCCTGGGAAAGAGGCCCCGGTGACGGGCAGATCTGAGCTCTCCACGTTACTTTGTTTGTTTCATGCGCCTGATTTGCTGTTTCATTTTTTGCGTTTTACCCAAACTGGCGTGCTCAGATCTCAAAGTATTTGTGACGACTGGAACCAAGTATCGATATTTACGCACCTCCTAAACTCTGTTCTTCCTCTCAGTCAAAGAACCAAGTAGCGGTGAAGTCGGACCAGTCGGCGTGCCCGCCACAGAGGCAGGACAGGGTTTGCGTCGTCGTTCCCAAGTATGATTTCAAGCACGGCATGAAGACCTTGCTTTGGGCGCTGCTGAACGTGGCCAAGAACGGTGAAAGGCTTTTCATCGTCCATGTCCATCGCGGCAGGCGTATTAGCCCCAAGGGTAAGGTTCTTCGTTCTCTGTGCTGTTTGTATGATTATTTAATTTTGTGACGAACTCTTATTATAATATCCATGTGCGAGCAGGGGTAGAGGAGAAACTAGGTGATTATGTGTCCATGTGCAACGCAAGCAAGGTGCTCATCCCCAACTCCGTGTGATATGAATAACCTACCCGGCAACACACATTCCACAAGCAGAAGAATATACCATGTATACATATGTCTCTCTAATTCTTAATATACATTTTTTTTTCTGGTCAATTACTTTTCGACAGGTGATCTGTGACCTAAAAATTATTAAGAATGGTCATGTTGCGCTTGCGGAGCTTATTGACCGTGAAGGTATCACCAAGCTTGTCATGGGAGCAGCAGCAGACAAACGTTACTCAGAGTATGTATCACACACCTGACACCAGATGATTATAGTGTTTTTCTCATGCTGTTTTGGTAATTGAAAGCTGCAAACCACCTTATATATATTAGCACGAGTTACGAACTGCAGTGCTCAAATTTAATTTTTGCTGCAAGTAAAATATGATGAAAAATTTAAAAAAAATGGTTCAACCTAATAATAAGTGGTTCACTATTGTAGGGAAATGAAATCACCGGAGTTCAAGCCGGCGATCAAACTGATGAAGTCAGCACCCTTAACGTGCAATATATGGTTTACTTGTAACGGGCAACTTATATGCACCAGGTAAGGTTAGGCCATGTAGGTTATGACCAGACTAAGATCGATGCATCCTATTGGTAGTATGATCTTAATTTCAGTAAGCGTGGCCCATATATCGGTCGCTATCCACGCTGCTACAAAAATGACTTTTACCCCTTTTATTTACAGAGGTGGCCTAAAAAAGTTTTGGTCTTCAAAATGTGCATTAATTATCAGAGGCACTTGACTAATTTATGGAGACAGCCAACTCACCGCTGCCTCTAACACCACCACAACAACAATAATAACAAAACCTTTAAGTCCAAAACAAGTTAGGATAAGCTAGAGTTGAAACCCAGCAGAAGCAATCAAGGTTCAGGCATGTGAATAGCTGTTTTCCAAGCACTCCTATTTAAGGCTAAGTCTTTGGGTATATTCCATCATTTCTAGTCTCCTTTTATTGCATCTACCCAAGTCAACTTTGGTCTTCCTCTGTCTCTCTTCACATTACTATCCTGGTTTAAGATTCTACTACGCACCGGTGCCTCTGAAGGTCTCCGTTGAACATGTCCAAACCATCTCAATCGGTGTTGGACAAGCTTTTCTTCAATTGGTGCTACCTCTAATCTATCACGTATATCATCGTTCCGAACTCGATCTCTTCTTGTATAACCGCAAATCCAACGCAACATATACATTTCCACAACACTTATCTGTTGAACATGTCGTCTTTTCGTAGGCCAACATTCTACACCATACAACATAGCAGGTCTAATCGTCGTCCTATAAAACTTGTCTTCTAGCTTCTGTGGTACCCTTTTGTCACATAAAACACCAGATGCTTGGCGCCACTTTATCCACCCTGCTTTGATTCTATGGCTAACAACTTCATCAATATCTCCGTCTCTCTGTAGCATTGATCCTAAATATCGAAAGGTATCCTTCCTAGGCACTACTTGACCTTCCAAACTAATATATTCCTCCTCCCGAGTAGTAGTGCCGAAGTCACATCTCATATACACAATTTTAGTTCTACTGAGTCTAAAACCTTTGAACTCCAAAGTTTTCCGCCATAACTCTAGTTTCTGATTCACTCCTGTCCGGCTTTCATCAACTACCACTACATCGTCCGCGAAAAGCATACATCAAGGGATGTCCCCTTGAATGTCTCTTGTGACCTCATCCATCACTAAGGCAAACAGATAAGGGCTCAAAGCTGACTCTTGATGTAGTCCTATCCTAATCGGGAAGTCATCCGTGTCTCCATCACTTGTTCGAACACTAGTCACAACATTGTTGTACATGTTCTTAATGAGCCCGACGTACTTCGTTGAGACTTTATGTTTGTCCAAAGCCCATCACATAATATTCCTTGGTATTTTATCATAAGCCTTCTCCAAGTCAATAAAAACTATGTGTAGGTCCTTTTTCTTCTCCCTATACCGCTCCATAACTTGTCTTATTAAGAAAATAGCTTCCATGGTTGACTTTCCGAGCATGAAACCAAATTGGTTCATAGAGATCCGCGTTATTGCTCTCAAGCGATGCTCGATAACTCTATCCCATAGCTTCATAGTATGGCTCATCAGTTTAATTCCCCGGTAATTAGTACAACTTTGAATATCCCCTTTATTCTTGTAGATCGGTACCAATATACTTCTTCACTCGTCAGGCATCTTGTTCGATCAAAAAATATGGTTGAACAGCTTGGCTAGCCATACTATAGCTATGTCCCTGAGACATCTCCACACCTTGATTGGGATACCTTCCGGTCCCATCGTCTTACATCATTTCATCCTTTTCAACGTCTCTCTGACCTCAGATTCTTGAATTCTCCGCACAAAGCGTCTATTGGTGTCATCAAAAGAGTCATCCAGCTAAAATGTTGTGTCCGTATTCTCAGCATTGAACAATTTGTCAAAATACTCTTGCCATCGATGTCGAATCTCATCCTCCTTCACCAAGAGATGCTCTCTTTCATCCTTAATGCACTTAACTTGGTTGAACTCCCTTGTCTTTTTCTCACGAACCCTAGCCATCCTATAAATGTCATTCTCTCCTTCCTTCGTACTCAAATGTTGGTAAAGATCCTTGTACGCTCTACCCTTTGCCACACTTACAGCTCGCTTTGCAGTCTTCTTTGCCATCTTGTATTTCTCTATGTTGTCCACACTCCTGTCATGGTACAAGCGTTTATAGCATTCTTTCTTCTCCTTAATAGCCCTTTGGACTTCCTCGTTTCACCACCAAGTATCTTTAGCCTCGCCTCCACTTCCTTTGGTTACTCCACACACCTCTGAGACCACCTTCCGAATGTTGGTTGCCATCTTCTCCCACATGTTGTTTATGTCCTCTTCTTCCTTCCAAGAGCCCTCTTTGATAACCATTTCCCTGAATACCTCTGACGTCTCCCCTTTCAGTTTCCACCACTTTGTTCTTTCAATCTTAGCTTGTTTATCCCTACGGGCACGCACATGAAAACGAAAGTCTGCCACCAAAAGCTTATGTTGAGAAACAACACACTCTCCTGGTATCACCTTGCAACCCAAGCATGCTCGTTTGTCCTTTCTTCTTGTGAGAACAAAGTCAATCTGGCTAGAGTGTTGTCTGCTACTGAAGGCCTGTCACCATTGCCTCTAAAAATCAATTAATAGAGATGGGACTCTTAAGCTGCCCAACTCTGAAAATGGAGCCTCTATTCAAAGGCCCTCAGTAAATTGATCTGAGGCCCAGCCGGTATATATTCATTTCCTAGGGTTTTAGCACCATTCACTCAATGCAATGCCCCCGGCCCATCTCCCTTCTCTCAGCAACGCCACCATCTCCCTTCTCTCTCACTCAATGCCACCACCGCTAGTATTCTCTCACTCCTCTCTCACGCTTGACACCCTAAGCACTGCCGCTGCCAGCCACACCAAGCACCACCGCCACCCCGACATCCTCCTCGGCCTCATCGTTGCCCCGACGCACGCCGTCGCCCAGAGGAGCGCGCCAAGGTCTAGCATAGCATGAGTATGTTGTTAATTAACACACATGATTAGAAAGAGGAGATGGTGAAAGGAAAGGATGCACGGGTGACGTAAGAGGGAGAGAGGTGATTTAGGTCACTTGAAAGTTTAATCTAGGCTCATCAACATCAACATCATAGCCTTTCAGTCCCAAGCAAGTTGGGATAGGCTATAGTTGAAACCCACCAAGAGCCCCAAGTCACGGTTCAGGCACTTCAATAGCTGCTTTCCAAATACTCCTATTCAAATATAGATCTCTAGGTATATCCCAAGCTTTTAAATCTCTTTTTATTGCCTTCCCATGTCAATTTAGGTCTTCCTCTACCTCTTCTCGTATTATTAGCTTGGCTTAGGACTCCACAATGCACTGGTGCCTCTGGAGGTCTCTTTTGGACATGGCCAAACCACCTTAACCAATGTTGAACAAGCTTTTCTTCAATTGGTGCTACCTCTAGGCGATCACATATATCATCGTTCCGAACTCGGTCTATTCTTGTGTGATCGCAAATCCATCGCAACATACACATTTCTGCAACACTCAGTTGTTGAACATGTCGAATCTTTATAGACCAACATTCTGCTCCATACAACATAACCGGTCTAATCGTTGTTCTATAGAACTTGCCTTTTAGCTTTTGTGGTACCCTCTTGTCACAGAGAATGTCAGAAGCTTGTCGCCACTTGATCCACCCTGCTTTGATTCTATGGCTAACGTCCGCATCAATATCTCCATCCCTTTGTAGCATCGATCCCAGATACCAAAAGGTATCCTTAGGCACTACTTGACCTTCCAAACTCATATCTCCCTCCTCCTGTACAACTCTGTCAAAGTCGCATCTCATGTATTCGGTTTTAGTTCTGCTCAATCTAAAACATTTAGACTCAAGGGTCTACCGCCATAACTCTAGTTTCCTATTTACTCCCACCTGACTTTCGTCCACTAGCACTATATCATCAGCGAACAACATACACCAAGGGATATCCCCTTGTATGTTCCTGGTAACCTCATACATTACCAAGGTAAAGAGATACGGGCTTAAGGCTGACCCTTGATGAAGTCCAGTTTAATCTAGGCTCCAGTAAAATAAACCTAAACTTTGCTATGGACACTATAAGAAAAAGGTATTGACGACAAAATATGTTGTCGTTAAAAGTGCAGATGTGGTCGTTAAAAATTGTTAATGACCAAAAAAAGATGTTGTCGTTCATGGTCATTAAAGGCTCCATACTTAACGACCACATACAATATCCAATTATTAACTTCATAACAATGGAATGATTTTATAGGATCAATTCAGGCTAAGATAGGAAATCATAGGGTGTGAATGATTTTGAAAACTGAAAGCAAATTCACACACTTTCCCCTAAGCACAAAACATTATTGCACTTATTTTTTTAGGGACCACCTTTTCCTTACTAAAACTGGTGTGGATTAAAAATCACAAGTCCGATTGACCTCAAACTCTAGCAGAATAAACTAGATAAACTTCTTGAACTAATCCCACAAGAATCACATCAAATGGATGTCTAGATTAGGATCTATTAATTTCCTCAAGGTGATTGTCTCAAAAGGTTATGAAAATTAATTAATCATATTTTTGAGATTAAGAAAAAGAAAATAAAACTTCAGGAAATCAAACTAGTCACCCTTCAGATCAGTAACATGATGGTTTAGCTGGGTTTTGGATGGTTCAAAACATACCCAAACTTGACAAGAGTTTAAATCTAAAATACCATAACTAGACATGCAAATATAAGAAGGAAAGGAGATAGATTACCATACACACTAATCGTGCAAACACTCAACTTTTATTAAGAAGATTGTGTGTACATGATGCCCCTCAAAAAGCATAGAATAATTCTTCACGAAATCATCAAAGCTATAGATGATTCTCTCCTTTATATATATATATATATATATATATATATATATATATATATATATATAACAACCGTTTTTCTGGAAAGAACCAAGGGCGGATCCAGTCTATTTTTGTGCTCTCACTTGATAGCAATGAATTTTAAAATCTGAGGCTAAGGTGTTGTTGATCTAAGGGAAAATGAGACAAGTAATCATGCCGTAGAACACTAGTGTTGGTGACCGAAGTGAACACAGCTCTAATCGCAACACACAAGGACAAGAAGCGCTGTTTTTGTTATCTATTGCTTCCTGTCTTATCCGTTACGGTGCTCCTTTATTTATAGGAGAGTTGAGGTGCAGTTTGGCAAATTACACAATGCCCTTGCTACAGCAACTATATTCCACGAATATCCAAAGGTACAAATGGTATTTGCCTTTGCAACAAGGTTATAGTAAAGAGTTTTGCTTGCGGCGTGATGAACTCCTAGCTAAGGATGAAAACGGTCGAACTCGGTGGAAAAACTCGTCAACCGTTTTCTACTTTTACATTTGAAATACGAAAGCGAAAGCAAAAGCGGACAAGCCGGACACGAAAACGAACACGAACTTACGGAATATCTAGAATTTCGGAAACGAATCAATTCGAGCGGAATTATGTCGAACACGGTCGGTATGCAAAAATTCAATACGAAATACCGACTCACAGTGCATAGCATTAAATAAGTGCACGATCAAATACATAACAAGTTCACAACTAACAAGTGCATGATTTAGTTCAAGTGCATAGCAGTAAACAACTGCACGATCAAATACATAATAAGAGAGATGAGGCTGGGCGCCGTCTATAAGAGAGGGCAGCTAGCCACCAGTAGAAAGAACGCAGCTGCGTGGTGAGCAGCCTGTAATTGGGCTGTATGACCTGTGCAGTTGGCCAAATTCGGTTTAAACCGAATTTTGAATTCGGAATATTTCAAATTAAAAGTAGAAAAATAGAAAACGGTCGAAAAATGTGTAAACCGTTTTCTACTTTTACATTTGAAATACGAAACATCTCAAATGCGAAAACGAAAACGGTAAAGTCGGACAAGAAAATACGGATTCGATCGGATTAAATATAGAAAACGATGCGGTTCGGTCCGTTCCGTTTTCATCCTCGCTCCTAACACCTCCTGCTTGGCCATGCTTCGATCATCTTTGTGTGTCTTCGCTGGCGTCCCGCGCGTTAGGGGCGGCATCGCCCGCCTTTTACTAGGAGCGCCCAACTCTTCAAATTCTTCCCAATTGCTTGCTGCTTCCTACCCAAATCCTATTCCATATACTCGGGTTCATAACAAAAAAAAAACTAAGAAAGAAATAAGATGATTTAATTTACCTTGGCGTCGGTGCCTGGACGCGTGCCGCACGCTAAGAGCCTGCAAAGCCGGGCCGGATATTATCTGTCCAACAACTGCTCGTCTACTGCCCTAACTGATAAGTAACCAACATAGTAACAGTATACATACTAATTATCATTAATTTGTTTATTAATGATCAAGATTAGAGAAGGTAGATGAGCTCGGCTAATTTTGTCGGATGAGCTTGTCCAGCATCTGAGGAAAATATTCCTCTAGTTGGATGACTCTGTTCAGAATGTTTTGAAACCAAACACCACTAAAAGTTAGATTGCCCTGTCATTGACCGCCACATTGTATGAATCAAACTGTTCAATGTTTTAGTGAGCGTCCAAGTCCTTGCGTTTATAACTGATACGTAGTTTTCATCTGTTTTCTCGATTTTTTTTTGAGTTCCACTATCTACAGAGTACAATATTAGGTGTGTGCTTTGTGGAGGACTCGCAAGTCACATAATGCCAACATCTCGTTCCTTTTTTTTTTTGAAAGATCAACATCTCGTTCTACCATAGTCGTGTTCAAATCTCAGCAAAAAGAATTAATGTCAGTGAAGTGCATCGCAAAAAGAAAAAAAATTAAAAGCTAATGCCACCTAGCTATGAACACCGCAGGGAAGCAAATGCAACTGTTCCTGCCATACAACCACCACCCGTGGATTCTCATGCTCTTAAAATGGTAAGTTATCTCCAGTATTCGATTGGGATTGCAAATCCTGAACCTCAACCAACCAGAATCATATACTACTTGAATGCTTTCTCCAGGAGCCAGTAGCAGCTGTTACTGAAGCCGGAGGCCTGTACGAGAAGAATGATCAACAAAATGCAATGACATTGCCTGCTGAAACAGTGAACACTGAGTTCTCCGAAGATGAGATTGAAAAATCAATCAGTTGCCTGGATAACAGACTTATCGGTAAGGGTGGATCAGGAAACGTCTACAAAGGTCGCCTACGCAACACAGATGTAGCTATAAAGAAGCTGCATCGGGAGAGCATGCAAGAGGAGTCTGACTTCAGCCGAAAGGTGATGCAAATCCGGCGTACCATCCTCAGCTCATTCCTTATAATCACCATGTTGGCAAATAAATCATGGCTGACACTACGTACGTGTGTGAAACCATTGCAGGTTGCTGTCCTTGGTCGAGTGCGGCATCCAAACCTTGTTACACTGATTGGCGTGTGCAGGGAGGTATTCGGCCTGGTGTACGAGTTCCTCCCCAACGGCAGCCTCCAGGACCGGCTCGAGTGCAGAAACAGAAGGGCACAACTGAAATGGCAGGTGCGCACCAAGATCATGCGCGAGGTTTGGACGGTTCTGACTTTCCTCCACTCGAACAAACCGCAGCCGGTAGTGCACGGAAACCTGAAGCCGTCCAAGGTCCTCCTGGACTCCAACTTGGCGTGCAAGGTGGAGGCCTTCGGCATTTCCCAATCCAACGGCATCGGCAAGCCCACCACGCAAGACGACGTGCATTCGTTTGGAATCATCGTCCTGCAGCTGCTGACGGGGTTGTTGTCCCCGGACCCGGAGGATGTCGTCAAGGTGGTCGAGGAGGCGATGGAAGAAAAGAAGCTGCACACCGTCCTCGATCGCACTGCAGGGGAGTGGCCGACCGCGCTGGCCATGCAGCTAGCGCACATCGGACTGCGGTGCGTCGGCAGGATGAGCCGGGAGGAGCGCCCTGTCCTCGCGGGGGAAGTGCAGAAGCTGTTTGTCGCTGCTGCCTCCCAGGATGAACCACAGGCGCCGCCGGACCACTTTAAATGCCCTATCGGTAAGGAGGTGATGGTTGATCCTCACGTCGCCCCAGATGGGCACACGTACGAGCTCGAGGATATCAACAGTTGGTTCAACTGCGGGAACGATACGTCCCCGGTAACGAGGCAGACGCTCCCGAACAAAAATCTGATCCCGAACCGGGCCATAAAGTCGATGATTGAGGATTGGAATGAGGAGCAGCGGCGGCAGGTGCGTACTGTTTGTGACCCGAATCCTGTCCAGAGTAGCCTGCAGGGCCACCCCACTATTCCTCCAGCTACCCAATCACAAGCTCTTGATACTTCAGCAACCAGAAGGACCAGCACCACGCCCACCAACCTGTTGATCGCCGATGCCCGCTCCCCTACCTTCTTGCCTCCGCCCATTGGAATTCGTCGACGCCACGTCAATGGCCGTCTGCCGTCGTCGTCAACGGAGGCAGACGTGCCAGGACCAGGAGAGACTGGCAGAATCCTAGGGAAATTCAAACATGAGTAAACCCAATTAAGGTCCATCGATATCGGTTCACGGAAGATACGGCTGTTAAGTCATTTTCACATATACCTCTATTACTCTGCTTGCGGAAGAAACTGTGTTTTACGTAGAGTGTGGTGTTAAGAAAAAAAAACAAAAAAACAAAAGCAAAACAGAAAAAAAAACAAAAAAAAACTAGTTTGCTATTTCTTTTGTTCAAGACATGTGTGTGTTATTTATATATTGTACGTATTTGGTGTACCTCTATCAAAACATCTATTACTATCTGGAAATTTCAGACAATATAATGGAGATCTTCGCCAGATATAGATAGAGGTCTAGCATAAGCTTATGATGAATTTCTTTTGCTTCATCTCAGCCGTTTTGTTCGTCTCTGATGGGTGTGAATGCTATGTGGGCGACAGAGTCTACCCCATAGTAAAACTTTGTAATAATATACGGACAAACATCTCACGATGCTGAGACCAGGATATTTTTCCTTTGCTCGATGAAATAAACTTTCCTTTATATAAAACATATTTTTTTTGTAGGACATACCATCTGGTTATTATCTTCCTTTACTGTTCATCTCACAGAAGTCCATATTTTATGGATGCCAATTATTTTAGTCTAGCTCGGTGTTTTCTTCCCTAGGCGAGTTGTGGTAGCCGTTGAAGTGTGCCTCGTAGGTGCCACTTGGGCTCAGGGTGACTTATTTCATGAGCTAGCTGAGTTGTGGTTAGTTTTCATGTCTGAGTTCCTTGGCCAAGGCCAAGCGTGAGTAGTGTTGGTATGTTATATGGAGGTTTGTCGTGGGTTTTTTTTTATAACATTGTCGTGGTTATTTAGCTTGGCGTGTGGTAAGTAGTAAGTTGGGTCTGTTCTTGCCCTAGAGTTGTTGATGACACATATCATGCAACATTTAGGGCCTCTTTGGCATGGCTTATGCCGGCTTCGGCTTCATCTATTTTGCTCAAATCGAGGCACTATAACGTGAAGCCGTTTTGTAAGCCGGGGTTAAAATGAACTAGAAGCCGGGAAAAGCCAGTTTTTCTGGTTTCACCGGCTTTGGCTTCACCGGTGAAGCCGTTTTGGATGAACCGTGCCAAAAGGGGCTTTAGTTGTAAGATTTTTTTTTTTTGGTCTAGCATTTTTTTTCTAAAAGTTGGACTAGCATTTCTTCTTCTTCTAGTAATATTTGCGGAAAATCTTTTGCTGTCATCTCAATAACAAAAGGGGTGCCGATTATCGTATCTTGTGCAATAACTTTAGGTGGCGTTTGGATATCCAGCAGAATAGGGAAATGAAAATAGTATGGGATAGAAAGGAGCGGGTTATGGATTGGGAAACGAGACTTGCAGCCCAATCCATTGTTCGGCAACAGTCGGGTTAGAGTTTGGATTTTACGTGGTATCCGCTTGCTTATTACAGAAATAAACTGAGCACTCTGCCATTCTTTTCCCTTTTCATGCAAACAACAGCACCTTTTCTACATGACCTTATGCATCCATCAAAGCTAGGCTTATTCGGCTGTTGCATCTCTGTTGTCCACGGTCGGAGCAGGATGCAAGGATCTTCACCGAATCCCTCAAGGGCAGCGCATGGTAGGCGTGGCCGCGTGGGGGTTTCCGCCCACGCAGGGCTAGTATATCGCTGCTTTATCTTCCCAGACTCCCCACGGGTACACAGCGGACCCGGGTGATCCGAGGTTCCTCGCTAGGTGCTAGATCGTCTGGTGGCCCTGTGCTTATTGGCTTGTTTCCAACGTTTATTGGAGCGAAGATGCATGTGTCTTGGCCCTTGCCAAAAGGAAATTGGGCTCCAGACTAGAGGTGTTTGTTTCCTGGATATGGGCCATGCTCGCGGGCTTCACTGCATGCGCTTGTGTTTGGTAAGATGAACCGTGGGCTCTCCTCAAAAAAAAAAAAAAAAAAAATGGACCGTGGGCCGCACACTTCCTTGATAAAGCAGTGAAGATACTGCATCCGGAGAGGCGGAGACCACTGCATGTCCGCAAAGAGTATATTGGTCTTGATTCATTCGGCCAGGGTTTATTAGGCAGTTAATAGTGTTTTTTTCTCATAATAAATCAGTACCAGCCGGGCTTATCAGCCTAGAAATTAACCAGCGAACATGCTTGTAAGCAGCTTTATTAAGAGTCAAAATAAAGCAATTGGACCGGAAAACTAACACCCTGTTCGCTTGGCTGATAAGTCATGGCTGAAAGTACTGTTGACTAATTTGTTGTGAGAGAAAAATACTGTTCGTTGGCTGAAAAAATATGGCTTATAAGCCAAGCGAACATGGCGTAAGAACTTTGCTAAACATGAATATGCATGTTGGATTTGAAACCTTTGTTTGAATCATCTAGTTTGCTTGTGCTTTGGAGTTTACCTTGAACCTAATAAATTCCGGTAAGGCTAGCATCCGGACGCTCGCACTTGTTGTGCCTACCCACGCCCCTGCGTAGGCATGTTGTTGCACCCGCCCACACGCCTATGGTTGCTTCACGTGGGGCTCACGTCGCTCCGTTTCTTGTGCTTGCCGCTCGCGCCCCCTCCACTCCCACGCGCATGCAAGCGGGGCCAATAGTTTTTTTTGAGGTCGACACCGGAGGGAGCAAGGTCTCCCCACCTGAATTTATATTCCACAGATACCGAGCAAAGCCAGGGGTTGGAAGGGCATGGTGCCAATCCAATTACAAAGAGTTCAGAGAGAGGATGAGGGGTGGATTACATATTCAAGATCGAGCTCCAACAAACTGCTAGCACAACATGCTTCCTTGGTAGGCGACAGCTCCAGAGCCTGACCGCCTCTCTGTAGGCGGCTATGAGCCGGTTTTGATCAGGTGCCAAGCTCTGGAACACGATGTCGTGTTGGTGTTTCCAAACCTCCCAACAACATAGGAGGATCAGGGAGCTCACTGCTCAAGCTAGGACATGAGGTGGGGGTGTGGACTTCCAGAGTTCAATGACTAGCGCAATCGAACCTAGTTGCCAAGCGGATGCGGCAGATGGGTCCCACTGCAACATGTGCAACACCAGATCTACTTTTGCAACATCTATATATACGAAATACTTGCAACATACGTCTGAAACAGTTGAAACACTTGCAACATACGCCTGAAACTCCAGGAAAACACGTGTGTAGCCATTGCAAAAACATATGCAACATCCAGATGAAACGCTTGTAATATATGTGTGAAACATATGCAACATCCGGATGAAACATTTGCAACATACTCCTTCCATCTCAAGATAGAAGGCATGATTTGACTTGGTGCAGTCTTCAAGATCATACTTAAGCTGTTAATTTATACTGTTATATATAATTTATGGCAACAACAAAAGTATCGTTAGAAAGCATTTGTAAACACAAATTAACTATTGTACTATAAAATTTTTATATTATTAGGCTAATTATTAGTCAAAGATAATAGTTTAATTTTTGAAATACGTGCATGTCTTATATCCTAATGAAACGGAGGGAGTATATGTGAAACATATGCAATAGCCAGATAAAACACACTTGCAACATACGTCCGAAAACATAGATGAAACATTGGGAATAGACCTTTACAACATACGTGTACAACCATTGCAACAAATGCAACATCCAGATTTACTTTTGCAACATCCATATGAAACAATTGCAACATACCTATGAAGCATCTTAAACACTTGAAATATAGGCTTGGGACATGCATTTTTCGTTCTTCTTCCATTCGACGCAGAGGTTTGAAGGTGGCGATGAGGGAAAGGGGGTCGGGCTGGACATGGGCAGAGCAGCGAGGGGGAGGGAGGAGCCATGTGAGATGGAGTCGGGGCGACGGCATCGTATGGGTTACGCGCGGTGAGAGGCGCTTCAGTGGTGGCGTGGCGTGCGAGGCGGGTTTTTTTAGACAGCGTGTTCGGATAGATGGATGTTGTCATCCTATCACTATTGAATAAATTCTATTGACTTATCTACTGGGTTCGTCCCAAGAACAATTCTTGAGTCAACATAATACGGGGAAACTTACTATAATTTTGGTAAAAGTTAAAAGTAGATTTAACTTATTCACACAGAATGTATGGACTCTAACCAACCAATAAGCTGAATAATTAGTGTCAATCAAGTATTGTTGCCTCTAACTAACAAAATTGTTGTGTGCTAATAAGGTAGTGAGGACTTACAGTAGTAAAGTGAGACAACCATCGAAAGTCGCGGTGGCCCACTAGTATATGAGAGGGTACCAGCGATTAACCGCCAAATATGAAACAAAAAAGTTTGAAAACTGTATTGGGTCGCCAAATATGCCAAAAAAAAAGTTTGAAAACTGTATTGGGTCTAATGGAGCACAACCTTTTGCTTTTGTTGGCCAGTAAAGGGGTGCTTGGTTCAGCTAGGAGCTTCAAAATCTAGTCTCATTTAGTCTAATTTAGTAAGTTTTTATCAAACACTATGACTAAATGGGACTAAAAAGACTTTAATCCTCTCTACCAACTCTAGAGTGACTAAACCATTTAGGAGAGACTAAAGTTTAGCAACCCAAACCAAACACCCCCTAAGTAATCCTACGACCTGGTTCGCACGGTTGTCCTGTCAACTTGTCATCGTTTCGTGGAAAAAGTTCAATCTACCTCCATTGCGGTCATTTGATTTTGTTTTTTCTCCCTAAATTACAAAATCAGTTTTTTGACCATCTCAAATTTTAAAACCATTTATTTTTACATCATGGATGATTTTGATGGCGATTTTGCTGATATGCTGCCACATCAAAAATAGGTAAACCAGACTAAGTTAAAAGTTTAGAGAGGTAAATCAGACTACAAATATTTTTAAAAACCTAAACAAAAAAATAAATATTTTTAAAAAAATTAACAAAATATTTTACATGAAAAAATAATGCAATTTAAAACCCCAAAATCTAGCTAAACCTTAGAAAATTTGTTTTACCTCAAAAAATTATGAAACTAGTCCATTTGTTTTTCCTAAAATCATGCTCTATCTTATGGTGCCTAGCCCGAAATCGTTTGAATTTTTATGAACTCATTTTAGTGCTTATTTGCTATTAGTGGCTATCGTTATCTATTACAATTAGTCAATATTGATTGTTCGGACCATGTAGCAGAAGTTACAAGAGTTGTGGTTTTGCAACACCCAAAGAAACTACTCAACAACTTTTTTCTATTGTCCTGTAGCACACTTTGTTTGGAGGGTGTTTGAAATTGCTTTTGGTTTATGCCCACCAACAAGTCCTGCTATTTTTTTTTGTGTCCTTGGCTTTAACAAGTATATCATAATTCATAACTTGCGTTCTCAAGTTTGTGTGGAAGCAAGCATAATTATCTGGTCTATTCGTTGAGATGAAATGATTTAGTTTTTATTTGACAAAAAGACACCATCTTCTCATTTATTAAACACATTTCAGATCCATCTTACAAAAGAAACACGGTCAACCAATGTTAAAGTGGGTAAGTCATATTCTACGGCAGCAGCAATGGAGATCTTCACTAAACATAGACGACCGTCTTCGAGCAGGCTTACCGCATAGATTTTTTTGTTGTCACTTCTTGTGAACTCTTTATGTGCCAGCTTTCATAAGCCAGAGACTTAATTAGTAATACATTTTGATTAAGTGCATAACTTATATTGAGATTGAGATTAGAATAAAACTTTTTTTTAAAAAAAAAAGAGAAATCTCCGTGGCGGAGGGAAATTATCTCCTCCTCCTTATCCGGAAAGGAAAAACAAGAGCAAATCTCAGACGTCATCAGCTGCCGCCGCCGCATACCACACACGTCCACACCACACCGCGTGTTATCCATTTCCCATCCCGCCCATCCATATCGTCCTGCTCCCTCCCTCCCTCCTCTGGTGAGTCACTTGACACCCTGGTCTAGCTTTGGTCCTTGTTCCTACCAACAGCCAACTCTCTCCTTCCCTCCCTCCCCAAAAGTCAGAAGGAGCTGAAGCCTCTCAAAATCACCAACCAGTAACTAATCGCAATTAACAATAGTATATTAATTAAAAAAGGAAGGAAAGGAGAAATTGTTGTGATTATATATGCAGGTACAAACACAAGAAAGGTTCTTGTTCTTGCCACAAGTGAAGTGAAGGTGCAAATCACGTGGTTCAAGGTTGGTTCGGATTAAGTAAATCAACCAGAGTGCTTAAACCTTCGTGTCCAGTGAGTCCTGCAGGCTGCAGACAAGACAAGACGCGGACGCTGAGCTCGAGAGGAGGAAGAAAGCACGGAGCGGATCGGAACTAGTATTTCCTTTGCTAACGAAACGACCGAGACCGAGAGGGCAGCTAGCAGCTAGAGGCAGCAGCAATGGCGACCTCGGCCAGCGGCGTCTCCCTCCTCCTCGCCCAGCAGCCGCCCCCTGCAAACGGCACCAGGTACATACACACACCAATCACCATGCAGTTCACCGCCCTCTGCATGTTCACCATCATCGCGCGGCGTTAACTAACCGCATGCTCTATTCCGTTCGCAGCCTGTGGCGCGGCGTCGCCGCCGCGCGAGCTCGTCCTCCTGCTCGGTTCGCGGCCAGGGCTGCGCACGCGCTCGCCGCCAACGCCAAGAGGAGGTCGCTCCGGTCCGTTATTAGCGTCAGGTGCGGCGGCGTCGGCGGTGCCGAGGCGCAGCGCTCCGACGACGTCGAGGCCGAGCCAGCGGTGCCGCGGTCGGTGCCGGTGCGCGTCGCCTACGAGCTGCAGCAGGCCGGCCACCGCTACCTCGACGTCAGGTACGGACGGCACAGCACAGCACAGCACAGCCACGCAGAGTTGAAGACCTCACATTTATTGACAGTTCAGTTGTGTTCAGTTGTGTTCAGTAATCAGCCTCTCTCTGGGCTTGGGCTCTTCATTCCGTGCTAGCTGCTGAATCGAAATGTGTTTTCAATTCACCACTTCCCAGTTCACTGAGAGATTCAGAGAACGAAAGATTGATGTTAGCTAGCTCAACTGGGATTCAGAATTCGTGCAGGCTCGTTCGTTCCCATTCAGATTTTCTCGTTTTGATTTGGTGTGATGCTTCCATCCTGTATGTATGTAGAACGGAGGGCGAGTTCAGCGCTGGCCACCCGGAAGGAGCTGTCAACATCCCATACATGAACAGAACCGGTTCAGGTAATGCTTGCCTGCCAAAATCCAAAAGCATTGTTCTCACCGCCGTTGCTTCCTCTGTTCTGTTATGTCTTGTCCGAGCTAGCTACTTCAGTTCAACTCTGTGATTTGTGAGCATCTCCGTCTCCATCAGCTGCCTGAGTCATCATCAAATTAAAGCTGAGCAATGTGTATTCTTTGCACTGTGACTAACTTGTGGCTCGGTTCTGAATGTTTCTGAACTTTCTGTGTCACGCACGCGCAGGAATGGCGAAAAACGCGCACTTTCTTGAGCAAGTGTCGAGGGTCTTCGGAAAGGACGACGAGATCATCGTTGTACGTAAACTACGTTTGCTGAATGAATCTAAATTTCAGAGATTATACGTTCATTTCAGTCAGTTCCTTAACACTAAGTGGAAATTAATCTCGCCTGTTGTTCCTTCCCAGGGCTGCCAAAGTGGCAAGAGGTCTCTGATGGCGGCGACTGAACTCTGCTCTGCTGTAAGCTACCATGGCCATCTCCATCATCTTCCCAAAGATTATCTCTTGGCTTTCTGCAATTCATGGCAAATCCAATCATTGCGGCCATATTTTCAGGGCTTTACTGCTGTCACCGACATCGCCGGTGGATTCTCGACTTGGAGGGAGAATGAGCTGCCTACCACCATCCAGTGAGCTAGCTTGCCTCGGCAGCATAATGTTGTTGGAGCTAGCCCACCCAGCGTTCTGTCCAAGCCTGTTCTGCTCCTGGGTTGTACATATGTCTGATGTCTTCCATAGTTCTGGAATAAGAGTGCTGGAAAATGGAGCATGTAAAGTAAAGCAGAGTAGCAGCACAACAAATAGGGTTTTTTACATTATTACCTGTTTTTTTTTAAACGAAAAACTGGATGTGCCAATTTCTACATTTTCACGTATTCAGCCAGCCATTCCTAAGGAGACTCAGAACCATATTGTCTTACAAAATGCTTAGCAATACCAAAAGAAGTTTAACATACTTCTTTTTTTCCTTATAAAAAAAACATACTTCTTTTTTTAATTAAAATTTGCAAGAAAAAACACACCTCCATCAGAGCAGATTATAAGTTGATAACCAACATATGAGTCCGTGAAGTTGACAGTAGCATCTAACATGTCAATCTCCTTAAGGAAAAACTTTACCAATATAATGTGGAACGTCCCAAAATGCGAGCGAAACATCGGCTTTAAATAAAATGAAGTTCCATAAGCACAATGTTTGATCATCACAGATATTATATTACGTCAATCAATGTGTGCTAATCAATGTTTGACACCTAATGGTGCCAGTAGGAGTCCAAAAAACAGTACTCATTTAGTTTATAATGCCTCTATTTTTGGAAAAGGATACAACTCTAGCATAGCGCTAAGTCAAACTATGTTAAAAGTTTGACTAATTTTATAAACGGAATAATTTTTAAAAATATCTATTTAGAGTTATAAATATTAATACCTTTTAAAAAGTTACCGAACTATAAATTGTTTAAACAAGTATTGTCTGTATTCAAAAAGTAAACTGTTTAAACAAGTATTGTCTGTATTCAACAAGGTATACTGTTTTAGCATAGTCAAACTATCTTAAAGTTGACCAACTTTATATAAAATTAGTATTGATATTTATCTTATTAAATAGGTGTAATTTATATTTGTATTACATTATATTTTCGTAGTATAGTTTTTTGGAGTCATATATGTTTGTGTTATTTTCTATAACTTAGTCAAAATTAAGCCGGTTTGCTAAACCTAAAATGCTTTGTTTAGGGATGAAGGTAGTAAAAGACTCGGCTTGCAATCCTTTTGGGACGAAAGTAATACATATTTCTTTAATGACCTAGCATGAGATTTTGCTGATATCATTGTATACAGAAGAGTTGTCGGACAAATAACCCTAGAAGGCTTTATAAGGTTTGACGAGGTAGGTTAACAGAAAACTAAATTCCAATAAGGAGCAGGAAAAAAAATGATTCATCAAAATACTTTTAACATACACCATCTCTAGATCCAAGATTTTTTTGGAGCTACGAACAATCAAATACTTTAAGTTGGGGTTGCCTATGTAAAGTCTTAGAAATACATGGTTTTAGAGCCTTTTCAGGTATATAAAAGGTACAATATAGATCCTATCCATTAATTAAACAGTATTTATTGTTTACTAAACAACGCACTTACTGGTGTTTCCAATTTGTACTAGATATATAGGGGAGTTTGGGACTGCTTCGCTCCACGTTTTTCAGCTCAACTCTACATTTTTTTAGCCAAACAGTTTCAGCTCCACGCACTCTGTTCGAGGAAAAAGGGTGAAATTGTGATAGCACCTAAAGAGGTGCTCCACAAACTCCAGGTTTTTGTGGAGCTGCTCCACAGTGGAGTTTGGAGAGCAGAGTTTGTGGAGCTGTTCCAAACACCCCAATAGTACATGAAAGAACAAGTACTAATAAAGTTTGATTCCCTTAATACCTTGTAATTTGCACTCATGCAACTCAAATCATAACATGGAGGAAGTCTCAAATAGGAGGGTAATGATTCAATATCCACATCAATTCATGTTTCCAGCAGTTCTGGATAAGCATAAATAAAGTTTTTTTAAAAAAAAACATGTATTATACCTCTTCACGGTTGGAATATTGAAACATATAAACCACAATTAAAAATTTAGTGGCACTACTTGTAGTATCACGCATAATGTGATGCTACTTAAATTATACTATTTACCAATTTGAATTTAGACGAGGTTCAAATGTATGTACATATCCATACCTATACAATAGTATAGCGCTTGCTGAAGTACAGTGTTTTATTTTATTTTATTTTAAAAAAGGATTTGCTATTTTTTTAGGTGCCTGGAAAATACCATCCGTTCAGGCAACTGCTCTGAGCCATCAGATGAAGATCTAATGATCAAAATTCACACAAAGAAAATTAACAATAAACAATTCTTTCTATTGTAAGACACAAAATTATGATCTAAATGACAGAGTCAATTAACAATAACAATAATGCTTGTAGTTGGACGTCCGGAGGCATCGATTCCGTCGGACGGTTCACCCGAGGTTTATGTTGCAGTTGTTTAAGTGATATGTTGCCACAGTGGATCTTCAATGTTGCATGTTTTATGGCAGACTCAGTGTAGAGTGGGTTTTGTGATGTTGCAGTAGATGAATGTTTGATGTTGCACGTGGGTATTTGAGATGTTTCGTAGGCTGACTTGTGGATGTTGCAGGTTGATTTTCGTGATGTTGCACTAGGTGATTTGTGATGTTCGAGGAGACGATTCTACATGTTGCAAGTACTTTCTTTTTTTCTCTCTCTATATACTCGGTGTTCAGCTTCTCCATGCCTACGTTGTGCTAGGGTGGGAGCCCACAGCTTCACGGAACGCGCTAGCTGTTGAACCGAGGAGGAAAGGAGGTGACCTGTGGTGTCTGTCAGCAGCGGGAGAGCGAGGAGCGCGACAAGTGAGTTTATGGGTACTTGCCAATCACAGTGCTATGAGAACGTCCATCCCACGACCACGTGCTCGTTCGGTGAACTCTAATTTCTAATATGTCGATGACGTCTGAGCACCAGTAGTTCCGTAACAACGAACATTTCTTAGATGCAGCTATATTCCTTGCGGCCGGCCGTAATATAGGCGTTCCGCTCCATTTTTGGCTACCCCAACAACAGTATACTATTGTCTTTCCACGGGAGAGATGTGGTGTCTACTACCGAGCTGGCCATGTAAGATTTTCCGATAGTGCAACAGAAAAATGTAGCAACAAAATTATATGAAAACTGCACAAATACAGATCACATATCTTCTGTTTATACAAATTTTATCAACCTGATATGCAAAATAGGTTTTATAATGCGCCACAGCACTGCACATGAAACTAGAGCAAAAAAAAAAAAAAAAAAAAAAAAAAATCATTCAACTCTGATCCAAAAAAGCAAAATTGCTTCTCTTCGTGCAAAATCTGAAAACAAAAAACACAGATCATTTAGAAAAACTTCATTTTTAGAGGCAAAGAGAACTACACAGCTGCGTAATCAAAACATGTAATTTTAATCAGAAGTAGCACATGGTTCAATATATAAACACATGATTTAGGACTGCATGATCAGAAAAATGTACTAGCAAATTAAAGGTCATTCCTTAGGCAACAATGTCTTCCTAAATAGGCAATTTATGTATTCTGGAAAAGCAAGTATAGTGTCTATGTTCATTTGCATTCCACAGCCCCACCCTCACCCCCACCCCTGATTCATTGTCACTATTATCAAGTCGTCCAACTAAAATGCAACTAATCACAGATTAGTAGTCCTAGTCGGATGGCATTTTTGACTAGTAAGGAAATGCTAAATTACCTATTCAGGCGCACATTGTTGCCTAACAAATGGCACTTAAAAAAGGACATACCCAGTGCAGAGAGCTCCCGCTCTGTGCGGAGTCTGGGGAAGGGTGACAGTGGCAAGCCTTACCCTCGCATGTGCAATGCGAGGAGACTGCGACTCGAACCCGGGACCTTCCGGTCACAGGCGGTAAGACTCTACCACTTGCACCAGGCCCGCCCTTAAATTGCCAAAAAGAAAATACAAAGGTGCTAACATGGGGCTGCTAGGAAAAAAAGGTGACACCGGATTGCTCACCTTCGCGTGCTATCATCCGCCTTTTTGCTGGACCATGGATGTTGATGCTCGCTGGTAGAGATCACCCTACCGCTTGCAGCCGCAGCTCCACCGGGAATGTGGCTCCGCCCGCCTTAGGTTTGCCCGCATCTGGCAAAGGAGGAGGTGCAACAGTTGGAATGAAACACAGACTGCATAGGAATGATCTTGTTCAATTGATAAAGCCCAAGGGCATACCACTGATCTTCGATTGATGAAGCCCGGCACAGACAAACAGATGACTATTCCTACTAGTATAATGCCCGTGCTAACGTCACGGCTTTATCTTGAAGATGCACATGAAACAACCTAACAATGAACTTTTTCCATAGTTCAACTTTTCCACAATAGTATATTGCCCGTGCTAACACTATGGTGGCGTCTACAAAAAATAAATCATAAAACTAAAATAAATCATAAAACAAAAAATAAATCAACTAATGAAAGAAACACGATTTCAGTCTCGCAGAGATTAGTCATTTCACACATAGAAAAAATAGACAAGCCCACACAGCACTACTAAGACGGGTCTTAAAGTTCATAAACCATCAATCTATATATTATTCTATAAACAATGGTTTATGGCCGGGACGGGGCTTTCTCTGCGGCGCGCTGCCACTCCACTCTGCCAGGCGTCCTTCAAATAGAAACCCCTACCACCGGTTGTTGTATAGCATTTCCGTATCTATTTGTGTAGTCTACAACGTGTTATCGGATTTGTCGTAGTTTCACTATAATCTGAATGAGGGTTGACCGTAACAATGAAAGTGAGGTGATATGAGTACATATTCATAGTGACGATAAGGGCAGCCATGAAGATCATTAGCAAGACATGTGTGCTTCAGGTCCAACAGGGAGCCTCTTGATACTGAAGATTGGGTGGTAAATTCTATAGAAGAGGAGCTGTGAGTTGCTCAGATGCACAATTTCCTGCATTTGCTGTGAATGAATTTGCAAAAAGAATTTGGTTAATTGGACACAGTAATCACAATCGGATGCAGTAATCATAA